GCGGAATGATAAAAGCATTCTGTGAGTTCGGGTTTGGGGTTTTTGCTCCTTTTCTCCTGGACTCCCACATCTTTTCAGCCATTTCCATTCATTTGGTTTACTTTATGTATGAGTTTGTGTGTGTTTAGCTGCGGTCTCTTTTGCTTCGTTGCTGATTTGCGTAATATTTCTTGATTTTAGTTGGGCAGATAAGGTAAATAAGGAACAAAAGATATGGGTTTCCCCCTACAGAAAAAGATAAAGCAAATGCGGGTGCCTCAAACTATTTCAAGTTCGTCAGGTGATGGTAATAAAAAGAAAATATAAACATTAAGCTTTATTCGATCGATGGAAATAAAAAAAGTAAAAACCGTAGCCACTAAGAGGCCTCCCTTAATGGATTTTTCTCTTCATTTCTTTTGGCACTCACAAACATAAAAATCTATTTGAAAGGAGCGTATTATTTTTGACTAAATTCCAAGGAGATACAATAAAATTCAATTGGAAACTTCGCTCTCGGCAGCCGCAGAAAATGAAAACAAAATAATGAATATACTTTTCTTGGCCGGCAAAAGCTTAGAGACGCCGAAAAACTTGGCAACTTCTTTGGCCACAAGGGCGAAAAATGGGTTGCTGCTGCAGCAAACACATGTCAAATAACCCCACCCCCCTTTGCCACCCCCTTTCACCCCCTTTTCACCCTTGTCTTTTTGGCGAAAAAAACAAGTTTTTACTTGCAAGGAAAGCTTTTCGAAAAACTTGCACGGACAAATGGCAAAACTGCTTATCTCAACAGAAAGCCAAAAAAAAAAAAGGAGAACCACGAGCTAAAAAAAATCAACTGGGAAAAAGGGAGAAAAGGGGGCGAAGGGCGTTCCTTAAGAGGGCGTGGCAGTTGCACTAATGGTGCCAAGCAACCGGAAATGCCGCCATGCATGTCTGCCTCCATTTGGGAGGCTGTGTATCGTCCTTTTCCCACTTTTCCACCCCATTTTCCTCCCCTTTTCCTCAAGTAGATCTTGATTGCCTTTTGCTGCAAGCCAAAAAAATTATATGTTTTCTCAGAGTTTCCCCTCAAGAAATCTCTCTTTCGATCCCATCCTTATATATGCACTTGTATCCCCTTTTTGCTATGATAATTTCCGCAGTATTTTATACAGAAACAAATGGCAAACTGTCAGTTTGATTTTGAAATCAGAAGCAACAAAGCCAAAAAAAAAAGAGGCTGGGAAACAAGAAACAAAATACGTGATGAGCAAATCGGAATTGGCATTTTGGCCATAGGCCAAAGATGGCCCAAATGAAGTCAATGGAGAGGCCTTATGAAAGATGGCCAAAAGCAGGTTGGTCGCCAGAAAAAGACATCTTTTTGCCACTCGCAATTTCAGCTTATTTTACAGAAGTGCATCATGGGTTCCTAAAAGAGCTTATTTTTTTTGTATATATTTTATTCAGTGGTAACCATGTGGTTTTTATTCGCGTTCATAAGAAAAAGTAAAGTATATCTGTTAATAAATCATTTTAAGTAACTAAACCTATTTTTTTATTAGAATAATATTAGTCTTGTTTAATGCCTAATTAGAACCCTAATTAATATTGACGTTTAAATCAACATTTTTTTATTAATTTACTAAACCCTCTTTAAAAATTATTTATATTATTTTAAAAGAATTTCCCCCAACATAAGCACATCCATTTTGAGCTAATAAAAATTGCAAAGGTTTTTCGTAAAACCCCACACTAATAATTTGTCAAACTAATCAACATATAGCCGCTCAAAAACTTTATCTGCAAAGCGCATAATCAATGCCTTGCCACGCCCACAACCGCAAAAAAGGCAACAAACAAAACTCCCGCTAAAAAAACAAAAAAGTGTGAAATGCAGCTAAAGTTAATTGAATTTCGGACACATCCAAAAAATGTTGGTATCTCCATGTTGTTGGGCTTTTAGAACCCAGTTGTTGTTTTTGGTCTGCCTGCTTATCCAATTAGACACGAAATTTTGGTTCCTTTTTTTTTTTTTTTTGTTTTGTTGTTGAGGGTTTCACTGCCCGTTTCGGTTCGCGGCATTAGCTCAAAAGTTGGCCCATTAATGGCGAACTAAATTCACTTTTGCAACGCCGAAAATTCCATTTTGTGAATGAGCGCCATGGAGTGAGTGTGACTGCACTGAAAAAAACATTGATAAATAGCTTTGACCTGCTTCTAACAATTGCTTTCTGAATGGTGAAAGTAATTCAAAAAATATAAAAATGTATAAAAGGTGTATAAATATATATTTATACTATGAAAATAAGATCTTACGAATCATAATTCTCTTTCTTTTGATTGGGAACTTCTTAAAAATGTTTTTCAAAATTATTTTTAGTATTTAAAGCAACCTGAAGAAATTCGAAACTTTGATAAGATTTCTTTTTGGGTTCGGAAATTTAAAGTGGACTGAGAATAATCTAAACAAAGATTTAAAAGATTGTGAATTTTATACTATTAAAAAAACTCTGATATACAACTTTTTATATTGTCTGTATTTTACTTAATGTTTTCTTCCTTAAGTGCTTGCTCATTTCTCTCAGTGTGGATGTGTGATTTTAGTGGCTGTCGCTGCTGTTGTTGTTGTTGTTTTTGTTGCTGTTGTTGTTGCTTTTGCTGTTAGTGGTAGCGGTGGCTGATGTTGATTTTCGATGTTTGCTTTTGGCCAGCCGCTGTCTACTTCTCCTTTTTGCCCCTTCTCCCACTTCTGTTTGTGATTGGGTTAGCCATTCAGAGGAGTTGGCCAAAAGGCGGGGCGGGGCGGGGGGTCGAGAGGGCGGGGCAAGAGGTCCTGGGAGCCGACAGGAGTTTGCACTTTGCGATGGCTGCGAACTGCGGCGGAAGTCAATAAAAGTTGGCCTAGTCCGTGGAACGGTGAAAAGGACGACTGTCTGAGTGAATTGCCAACAGCCACTAACCAAATTAGCAGGGATCGGGATTCAGCTTTGAGCCAGGAGAAATTTAGATGTAAAATTGAAAACGAAGATGGGACAAATGGCCTAATATTCAAACTTTTACCTAAATTTTGACACTTTCTATTTCCTAAACAATTTTCTTCTAAAAAACAGGAACAAGAAAAAACATTTAAGGTAACCTAAAAAATTGTTTTTAATGACTTGACTTTAATCACTTATAACTATTCATGTTTTACTTTTTCTTTTACAAAAACATACATATTTTTAAGTGATTATTAAATTTGTATGCCATTTATTACACTTTTGTATTTGTGAAATGTTGCAACATAAAGATTAAATCATAATAAATGGTTTATTTTACTTTTTTAGTTGTGTAAAAAAATAAGTGTAAAAATATTTGTATTCTTTTTATTGTCATAAAAAAATCGTTTAAAAAAGTTGAATCTTTTTACGTTACAAATTCGCCGTGGTGAATTTAGAACTTAATTCGCTTTGCCAGCGTTAAAAGCTTTTCAATTCGGAATTATAAGAATTTGTAGATTTGCGACTACAAGCTTTACCGCACCACCTAACGGTTGTCCAGGGAAACTTACAAATAAAGCTCTTCTTGCTCCTTTACCGTCACCTAGTGGTTACAGATCCAAGCAATAAAAGCTTTAAAGCTCCCCAAAAGGCAACAGGTACTCACACATTCAAACGCACATACATCAACCAAAAACGTATTTTGTTTCGTAAAAAATATATGAAAAATAAAAATTTTAAAGTGAAACGAACCCAAATATCCTCATTAATATTTATCCACTCATCGTTCAATTCACTATTTAATTGACCGCAGCGATAGAAAATGCTCCAATTTCCTGTGATAGAAATTCCACAAACATCACCACATTGAGTTTCAAATTCAAAAGGCCAATCTTGATCCATTTTTATGGCTATAACTTAATTTTTCACTAATTTGCACACTTAGTACTCATTGATTTTATTAATCACACACCAAAAACAAATAAATTTGATTTATTTAAAGGGAAGAGATCTAAAATCGAATAACTATTCACGACGCGACGAAAATTTAAAACGGTTAGAATAGAAGCCTTGTTAAAAATGAAACGAAAAATAGAAATGGCGTCGGCAGAGCGTCGATGAAGCGAATTCCGAGGATCTATGATAAAGGCCGATAATAACCAATGAAATTCAGCCAGAAAGAGAAAAAAGATGATTACGCCGACGCAGCGACCAAATATCTGCACTCGCGCATTAGAGATATCGGAAACTAGCTAAAAAGTTTTTTTTTTTTTTCGTTAGATTAAAAAATTGATTTTGCTATGCAAAAATTTTTTTTGAGCATACATTTTGAAATAGTTCTATAATAATAATAATTTTTAAATTTATTTGCAACAAGACTATTCCTTGGGATTTGGCTTGAAACAAGCAACGGGAGCAGCACTGCAAAGTAACCGACGCAGTCGCCGCAACAAATAGACTGCAAAAAATGCAAACAAGTGCGCATGCGCGAGCAAAGCTAACGGATTTAAGCCTAATCTGGTTGACGCGAGGAGAGCGAAAGGAACCACATAAAGAACAGAAAAATTATTTCAAAGAAAATTTTTGACAGTGCGACACGTGTTTAATAAGATCGGAAATTTAAAAAGAATTAAAATGATATGTTAAGTGTTAAATAATGTTGCAATTTTGTTAATGTTCAGTGAATTAAATTCGTTTATTCAAATGTAGTGAAGATCATTGTTATATTGCACTTCAATTAGAAAAACCTGTGCTAACAACGCCTACGCCCGTACACACACACAGATTTATATGTCAAGTAAACTTTTACGCATATGTACATACGTGTACATTTGCATGCAAGCAAATTTTTATAACCTTAATCCAATCATTAATAAGACTTAGTGAAAATGTAATTTACACAAAGTAAATGTTGGTAAGTAGCGCATTCCCATCTTAATACAGGTCATGAATAAAAAATATTCTGCATATATACATACATTTATTCTATAAGTAAATTTTAATTTTAATTATGGGCGGCATTTAAACAAAACAATATTTATGTATGTATCTTACCTCTCTCATATGAAACTCCACTGGCGGAACATTTCCATTGACTTCAACTGCCGACGCAGACATTTGTTGTTATTTTTATTAAATTTTTTAAGATATTTATGTTCTTAGGTATTTAAGTTTTTCTTTGTTTATATCACGTAAATGTATCAATCTTTATGTTATTATTTGTGATTTTACATTTGTAAAGTATTTTTAAGCCTGGGGCCTAATTTAGCGTCTAATCGAATTTTATTAGATTTTTCGTAGGGAAGCGCAGTTATTTTTGTGCTTTCTCTTGTTGATTTTTGTTGTGGACCGTGGGACGTGTCTCTACTACAAAATGCCAACGTGATTTTCCGAACGGTAAACAACAAGTGGGCGGTAGTGAAGTTCGTGTGGCTCTTGATTTTAGCAGTTTGTTAAGCTGTTTTGATTCGACCTCATATCTTTTTTATGTTTGGGTAACTGAAATAAAGAAGATTTATAGAAAATTTTTTGTTATTTTTGGAGAATATATTTTTCTAGATAAAAATCTAGATAAAAATCTAGACAAAACTAAAAAAAAAAAGTTTAAAAATAGGTACGATGCTCAGATGAATAAGTCAAAGGGAGACCCCTTAAAAAAGGCATTTCCTACATCACGTTAATCCGTGTGGGGTTGATTTAATTCAAGTTCCACTCGTTGGATTGCACATCCATAAAAGCCTGCCATGCCAAAAGGGAAACATTTATTTTTGTACCTCTTTAAATTTGCTCCTCTGACTAATTTGCTGCAAATTATTTCAATTTATGTTTTCGCAGCTCTCACTTTGTAATAAAAAACATGTTTTTCAGTTCCTTTTCGCATGCATTTCAATTAAAATAAATACCCCAAACATTAAAATTCATTTTCTGCTGCAAGCAGAGAAGTGAATGTATGAAAAAGTCAAAATTGTGGAGCGGAAGGATTGGGACGTTCCTGCGAACTGTAAAAATTAAGCAATTCAGACGATGTGGAGTCCTATTACCGCTTGTATATACTTTTTTGAGGGGTATATAAGTTTTTGATTTCGGTGGTAAGTGTTTTTTTTCATAGAAAATGGCACGACTCTTTTAAAGTTATATATTTTTTGTTCATAAATTAAAGGATTACAAAATATACAGTTTTCAGTTATTATTTAATTAGAAAAATTGAGTTTTACTTTCATTACAATACATTGTAGTTTTTGGCTTAATAATTCTAGGAGACCAATTTAAAATATCACCAATTAATAACAATTAAGAATAATTGAACTTAGAGAAATTAGTTTAACAGGATGTATAAAATGTCTACATTCATATAGTCTATTGCAGGATATGAGATTGTTAACTTAGCGACTCTAAACTGCCACTGACACATTTGGCACATGCTACAGTGGGTGGTGTGTATTTTGCCCACACACTTGAACAGTTTTCCACGACTTTAGCCCGCTTTTCCGGCACCTTTCCCTCCCGCTTTCCCTGCACCGAACAAGCTATGGTACATTGCTAATGTGTCCCATTTGCAGTGGCGAACCACTGAAGCTTAACACGTTGTCTACGCAGACAAGCCACGCCCCTTTGAGCCTCCAGCCGCCCACACAAGCGAAGAAGAAGCAGAAGCATTGCTGGCTGCAATGTATGCTATAGTTTTTGCTTATCAATGTGTGTACAGTACAGTGAACGCTGTTTAATAATTAACCGGTAATATTTAAAAGATTAAAAACCTTTTATTTATTTCACTGTAAGCATGTTAAACAGCTATTCTGCTCAATAAAAAAATGAAATTTTTAGTTGGCAATACTGTTTGGTTTATTGAGTGACCACTGTATGCGTCTTTTGGCACACATTTGCGATTGTGAATGTGTGCTAGTGTGTAAAGCTATTCAAAGTTGCATCTGACTTGGACCCCTGGGGAAAATTGGAAGGCAATGCTATCCCAGTCGTAATTGTCTCGTTACTCGCTACTTGTTGGCAAACATTCCGCATGCACAGGCACACCAACCCAGGCTCTACTGTACCGAGGCACAAGCGGAAGTGGATGCCAACACCCTGCCATTATCGCCAGCCTTTTCAGGACTCCCCATCGAAGCACCAGTTGGTTAATAATTTATTTACAGTTAACATTTTATAAGCCCAGGACATCCACACACACACACACACACATACAAGTTGTGTGCGATTGAGACTCCTGGCTGCCATTTGATTTCACAAATATTTACAGTCAGCTTTTGCACTTTCATTTTTCCACCATTTCCTTGAAGGCATATGGAATTTCCGAAGGGTTTGGTTGGAAAAAATGAAACGTTACTTAGGAAGAAAATTTTTATTGAATAAAAAGAGTAATTACTACTGTCATATTGGTTATTACTTTTATTTCATATTTTATTTATTTAATCATTTTACTTAAGGATTTAAAGTTATAGTTTTTTATATTACATTTTTCACATTAAAGTATTAATGTTTTTTAACATTTTTTTTTGTTACTTGAATCCAAGATTAAGGTAATAATAACTAATTTCTTCGAAGCACTAGGTTTAAAATAATATTTATTTCTTTAAAGCACTGCTATCAGTTCAGTGTATCTGGCATTCGATGTGATTGATTTTCCTTTGCTATCTCGTTTCCTTGAATTCCTCTAGACACCTGATTTTATCCACTTTCCTCGTGACTTAGCCCGCTTTTCCGCCAACAAGCGCTGACAACTCTAGTGTGCCATTTGCCATTTCAGCGCTGATGGTAAGTGAAATATGCACAATTTCCGTTTACCATTTCACCCAGAGGGTGGAGAGAGTGGGAGATAGTGGAAGAGAGAGTTCGAGTAGGATATGAGGTAGCAATGTTGTTAGCAAATGTAAAATGCAGTTAACTCGATGTATGTGTATGTGTGTGCCATACATAAATGAATGAAAAGGGCATTCGGTTAACAGGATGTGCACGAAAAAAAGGGAGAAAAAAGAAGGCCACCCAAGAAGTAAGGCATTGCAACTGTAAAAGTTTCCATCAGTCGCATTCAATAGCCATTAAGGTGGCTTTTCCCACCCATTTTCACTACTTTGCCGACCCGTGAATGGAAGTGCACTTCTAATGGCCATTTGAAGCAGACAAAGTTATGCTCGACGTGTTTGTTATACTCGTATACTCCATACCAGTAAAGGACTTCTGGCCTGGCTTTTCCTTTATTTTCCAGCCCGAAAAGCTTTGGCGCAATATTCAACGCGAGTGTGGGAAAGTGAATGTGATTTGCATGGGTTTAACAAATTGAAGTTGTTGCGGATGGTGTTTTACAGTCGCGGTTGGCTTATCGCACTTGAAATTGTTGCCCGGGGAATTGGGAGGTGAAATTTTCCAACGTACATTGTGAAGTTTAATTTTAATTTTACGTATGTGGTAGATTATCCTTTATCTTTAATTTAAGCCAATTTTTCGTTCGTTTATTGCACATTTTTCAATTATACGGGTACATATATAGAGACAAACTTGGAATTAAACATTTATTTGTTTTATGAACCGTTCTGTGAATGCATTTTTTCTTCAGAAAACTTTCCCTTCCCCTCTAAACACTTCTCAGTGGTTTGTATTATTGTCATATTTCAATTCGTTTTGGCTTAGCCCCGCGAACTTTATTGGTCGAAGCCTTAAATGGCCCAGAAATTCATTTCATTGGTTTTGCTGCAAAGGAAAAGTGGAAACTTTGAAGGATTTCGCCTTCGGTGGCAAAGTTGCAAGTACATTTTTGCTTTTATGATGAACTTTTGACTGGCTGCCATCGTCTGGGTTGCTTTATTTATTTGTTTGTTTGTTTCTGCTGCGTTTCTTTTCGTAATATTTATTTTTTACTTTATGCGCATGAAGAAAAACTTTGGTTGTTTGCATTGTGCTGTTTGTTTTGTTTGTTCAGCGCTGTTCCGTTTCGCTTTTCTCTGTTTGTTCTGCTGGGAAATTGTCGGAAGAATAACCCAAGGCAACGCATTGAGCAGCAACAAAACGTTTCCCTGTCACGCATAAAATATTTCCATAAATTTCGCCCACTCATTGCATGCAACGTGACTTTAAGGAGAAGGAAACCTGCATCTTGTATGTGCATTTCAAAACATACAGTATTAACTTTTCATAAATTATTTTGACCAAATACAAAATTTCTCTTTATGCTTGTTTAATTTACTTGCAATTTGTTTTTAAACCTACCTCGATTTAAATTGCACCCATTGCATTCCGTTATGGGGTAAAAAATTTCAATCATTTTTTTCTAGCAAGTCAGTAACCACTGTACTGCAAAATTTCACAAAAGCATTTTTGGCAACAAGTTAAGTTTGTTTTTTGTTTTTACCCTGTTGTTTTCATGTTTGTTTTATGCTTTTTAATATGGCGACTGTGGTACTCGTAAATTTACGCTGCGAAATTGTTAGAAAGCCATGGAGAAAGGGAACATTTCTTGGAACTTGGCTAACACTTGTTCTTAGGGTGAACCCGCTGTGCCATTTGACAAGAAACCGAGTCACCCCAACAGAGAAAACTCTCTACCAGCAGCTTAACTCACTTTATGACAATTTCTGCCCTCTGATGCTGAGAAATTGTTGCTCGTCTTGTGTTGTTTAATGTTTCCCTAACCTTTGGCATTGAAGGGAAAAATGTTAGCGTGCTTTTTGGGGACCCCATACGAAGTTTTATGAGTGATTTAATGTGGGGGAAATTGTGCGAATATGGGATGTGTGAAATTGAATCGCAGAAAAGGGAAATTTAATATGGAAATTGGAAAAATTGCTTGACATTTTATGACACAAACGATACACGAGTTGCTTAGGGACTGTTGTCTTAAATGGAAATATTTGGAAATAACAATGGCAATAAATTTGAATTACATGTAATTTATTTGATTTGTTATAATGAATTTATATGGTAATCTTGAGATGTTCATAATGAAACAATAAATAAGATAGTTAACTTTTATTTACAACATTTTTTAAGATTTGGTTTTCTTGTTTACTTTATTTATCTTTAAAAGTTCCACATAACTTTACAACTTAGAACAAAACTATGTATTCTCCAACAATAAAGTTCCATTCTTTTTCTTTTTAAATATTCCCAATAAGACTTGTGACATTTTCTCGTTTTCGTTCTTTTTTTGTTTGCCTCACATTTGGCCATAAAGGAAATGAATCTTTTATTTTAACGCAGCTGATGCTGCAGGTTTATTCTGCTTCTTGAATGTTCTTGGTTTGATTTTTCCGTTTCTTGATTGGGGGGAGGTATTCACCCATGGGAATTGCAGCTGATTGGTTCTGTGCGAGGTTTGTTTTTCAGATTTTTTTCCGGTTGTTTATCTCTGCCACAAAACGAGGAAATCGAAAAGCAAACGAACAAAAAAAGATAAAAAAATTAAATTATCCTGGTGGGGGTATTTTAATTTGGAAATGTGGAGAAAAAGGAAATAGAAAAGGAAAACAGACAAACTTAAGCAATTTCCA